GAGGGAGTGGAGGGGACATGAGAGGAGTTGGAGTAAGGAGAGGATGGGGTGGAAACAGTGTATAGAATTAAAAAAAAATAAAAAGTTTTGAGTTTTAGCTCATTGTATTCTCTGACAGAGATAAGCCGTGTCTGCAAATGCAGTGTGTGTGTTGTAAATCTAACCATCTGACCAGCACTCCCACTTTTTACAGCAGACACAAAGTTCCTTCTTTTCATATCACTGTGATTTACACTAACAGTTTCCCATTTCATTCCAGCCAAGGCGAGATGACAGAAGCAATTAAATACCTGGAAAAGGTTGTGAAAATCGCAAGGAACAACTTCCAGAGCCTCGATGTGATCCGAGCATCCACAATGCTTGGTGACATCCACAATGAAAGAGTGAGTCATGTGCCCCCTGTTTGTGGAAAGGCTTGCAAAGTTGGAAGTCTGTTCTCATTTTATGCTCGCTCTCTCACAAGTCAATGTGGAAAAGGGCTGAGACCGCAGGATGGAGCACAGACAAGGTGCGGAACTAGGAATACCTCTTTCCCACTCGTCTGGTGGTGTACAGGCCCCACCAGCAGTGACCACGGCCATTCAGTATTCCAAGTGACTGAATGTGAGGAACAATGAAAAGATTTCCATTCAAAGGCACTTTGTGATAACCTTTGGCCCTTATCAGCTTACTCTGACATTCCTCTCTTGGTCCAAATTCTTATTTCTTTGTAATCCAGTTGGGATGCTCTTTATTAAGCCCCACCAGGCGAAGAAACAAAAACCCTAAGAATGATTCCAAAGGGAATTTAGAGTGGGTTTTCACAGCATCCCAGGATCCATGATTAGTAAATGCATCAGTTGTAATACCAATTTTATTACCTTCAGTTGCCCAGGGTCTCCTTTAGAAATTGTATGGAAGAAGCCTGTTTCTCTGGTTATAATTGCTGTTTTGATCATGAATCAGATCCATCATTTTTTAGGGTAATTATATTCTCCAACTGTGTTCATGCACTCTGTGTTAATCTGAGTGTTCAGTGATTAAAAGCACTACTGTGGAAACCCACTGCTTGGGTGACAAGCCCAGCTCCCTCACTCATAAGATCTGGGACCTGGGACAAGTTATTTACACTTCTAGGTGCTTTGGTTTTCTCATCTCACGGGGTTATTGTAAGGATTAAATTAAGCAACAAGAAAGCAGAAGGACGGCTGAGAAGAAAGAACCCTGAGAGGGTGGGAAAAGAGGGCGGTAGGGGGGGAAGCAATCATGAACAGGGCGCAGCGGTGTATATGTGTGAAAGTGTCATAACGAAACCCAATATTTTATACACCAGCTACAATGCTAAATTTTTAAAAATCAGCTGGAGAGATGGCTTGATGAGTAAGAGTCCTTGCTCCTCTTGCAGAAGAGGTTTGCTTCCCAGCACACTCACCAGGACGCTCACAGCTTCCTATAACCCTAGCTCCAGGGGATCTGATGCCATCTTCTGGCCTATGCAGGTGATACACATAAATGCACATAGACACACACACACACACACACACACACACACACACACACACACACACACACATAGAGTAAATAAATAAATACTAGCGGGCTGGGGAAATGACCACATCATTAAAGTATCTCTTTTGGAAGCAAAGGGACCTGATTTCAGATCCCTAGCACCTGTGTTCAAAAACAGTGTGTCACACATGACTATAACCCCAGGAATGGTAGGGCAGGACCGGTGGAGCTCTTTGGGCAGCCATCCTAGCCAAATCAGTGAGCCCCAGGCTCAGTGAGAGAGATCCTGTCTCAAAAATACAATGTAGAAAGTGGTCAAGGGAGAGACTAGTCCTTGACCTCTGGCCTCCATACATCTGTACATATACATGCATGTATACACACATGAGCAGGTACACAGTCCATATGAACACAAACATGCACCATGCACAGAGTAAATACTGAGGAGTAAGGAACTGACTTAGTGAGGGCAGCACCTTGAACTACTGCTGTGTCTGGCAGGGAAACAGGATTGGTATTGCTACGGTTGTGCCCCACCACCAAACAGTTCTCTCTTCCAGACCCTCCAAGAGTTTGCCTCACTTCCAGTCTCCCAGACTCAAAGCAGCTGGAACACTCCAACCCACACTCTTAGCCACTACAATATTTTTTTAAGAAAATGACTTTGAAATTAGTACAAATGAGTGAAAGTAATGTTTTGTTTTGTTTCTGCTATGGGAAAATCCTGCAAGCAAGTCATGACCTCTCATTTCTCTCAGCTTCCTGCTGCTCCTCTGGCCCCTTTGCCCTTCCCAGGAGAAGAACCCACCATCCCAAGAGTGACTCTAAAAGGAAATTTAGAATGGGTTTTGCACAGCACAAAGACACCAGAATTAGTCAGTGTGCCGACCATAACACCATTTCTTCCCTTGCCCAGAGTGCTTTGGAGACCCTGGGGAAGGCTCACAGTCTTAAGGTCTGCGGTTCCCTTGGTTTCCCACTCTGCCCCCTTCACCCCTCCCCTGCTTTCCTGCCTCCTCCCTCCAGGCCCCCATCCTTGCCCTCACCTTGGCTCTGCTCCCTCTGTCTCCCACGGTTTCTCTCTTTCTGCCCCCCACGTCCACCCCCAGGACCCTCCTCTCCTGTGCCTCCTCTGCTGCCCCCACCTCCTGGACCACTTCTGCCCTGCTGATCCCCACAGCGGGAGTTTATTTTCCAGATAAAGTGGTGGTGGGCAGGGATGCCAAGACTTGCCCTGGAAAAGCTTGCTGTCAAAGAGGGGACTGCGCCCCACAATAGCTGGATTGACAGACACGCTGGACTGAAAGACACAGACTGACCCTCTGAAAGGACGGCTCTGCAGAAACACAACCAAGCACACACTGCTATGGCTTTCCCATCCCACCAAACAGTACGCCGAACACCGATGTTCCATGTGACAGGAATGCCAAGTGTCCACCATTTCCCTCATGACAGAAAGATACAGAAAAAGAGAGAAACACTAGAACTAACTTCAGGATTTCATTTTCTCAAGTTTTGCCAAGTGTTTTTTAATGTCACTAGTGTGATTTATTCTCTGGTGTTTGATTCTTGAACAGTTTAACGTACAAAGACTGTGTCAACTACTAAAAGTTAATTTTTACCAATTTAGCCTCATTATAAAATTTGGAGGATTCTGGACATTCATTCCATATTTTTATATATATATACATACATATATATCTTTATATATGTATTTGTTTTATTCATAGAGACAGACAGACAGATAGACACTATTTAGTTACTTTTCTATTGCTGTGATAAAAGACCATGACCAAGGCAGCTCACAGAAGGAACGGTTTATTAGGGGTTATGGTTCCACAGGGCTCTGAGTCCATTGCCATCGATAGCAGGGAGGCACGGCCGCAAGCATGTGTGGTGACTAGATCAGAAAGTTGAGAACTCATTCATCAAATCAAAAGCAGGAAGCAGGGAGCAAACTGAGAGCTGTGTAAGTCTGAACACTCAGTACCATGGTAAGGTACGTCCTCCAGCAAGGCCACGCCTCCTAAGCCTCCCTAAACAGCACCACCAGTTGTGAACTAAGTGTTCAAATGCCAGAGCCAATGCTGGGGCATTCTCATTCAAATCACCAGTGAAAGACAGACAGACAAACAGATGGTTCAGATATACAAGTTGATTCCAATACTTTGATGGGTCCAGTAGTAAATAGTCTTAATGACAAATAATGTAACATTGAGTACATGATTTTATAACCACACACACTTCAAAACAAAGCTTGATTTGTTTCTCAAACTGTTAAAGCGACATTTAATCTTTGTGCATCACCGTTCTCCACCCTGTCATCATTTAAAAGTGTCTGCTGACAGTGGCTCAGGCTAACTGAATTGTCCGTCATTACTTCTCAGTGCAGTCTGAAAGGCAGTCGGTATAACGAAGGAGATTAATTAGAACTGGGCGGTGGTTGCTATTTCTCTAAGTTCTGCAAAATCCCTTCCTAAGAAAACGTTGACAACAAATAACTTGCCACCTCTGCTCTTGAGTGGCTGAGGACAGTTCCTGTAGCTGAAAGTTTTCCTGTGTCCCGCCTGGTCCTCAGCCACTCAGACCCAAGTAAACACACAGAGGCTTATATTAATTAAAATTGCTCGGCCATTAGCTCAGACTTACCACTGACTAGCTCTTATACTTAAACTCAGTCCATTTCTGTTAATCTGCATGTTGCCACGTGTTCCATGGCTTTACCTGTGTGCCATTACATGCTGCGCCCTGGACAGCAGACTGGCCTCTCCTCTCTCAGCCTTCCTCTTCCCAGAATTCTCCTTGTCTGCTTATCTCACCTATACTTCCTGCCTGGCTACTGGCCAATCGGCATTTTATTTATCAACCAATCAGAGCAACACATTCACAGCATACAGAGTGACATCACCCATCAAGTTCCCAGTTATGTTGAGTGCTGCCATACAAGTTGCCCAGCTGGACAGTTCCATGAGTTATTTGCACAGGTAGGAATTGACCCCTTCCTGGAAGGAGGTTAGAGCAAGGCTGAGAGTAACTAGCTTGGGTTTTGTCCACTTGGTTTGAACTGTGCCCAGCTGCTAATTAGTTAAGACATTGGGCAAGTTAGTTCTCTGCTCAGTTCCCTCACCTTCCAGATGTCAGTAACAAGAAAACTCAAAACTAGTGGCAAGTATCTATACCTGCGATGCTGTCTCACCAGCCCTACTTCGAGATTTTCTACATATTTAAGTCATCTAGCAGAAAACAGCACTTAAAATGTTAGTATAAGTTATTATATTTGAAGTCTCTTAAAATTTAAAATTTGCACACAAACATTAAAACGATAAATGATTAAATGTTTACTGTAGTATTGACACAAGCTTTGAGCAACCTGAGTGTTGTCAATATTCAGAAGAACTTACGAAGGGGTGTACTAAGGGCGGAGAGATAGCTTAGTGGTTGAGTACATACTGCTCCTCCAGAGGACGTGAGTTAGGTTCCATAAGGCAGCTAGCAAACACCTGTAACTCCAACTCTGGGGAGACCCAGTGCCTCTAGCACACACACACACACACACACACACACACACACACAATTTAGAAAATTAGCCTTCCTTTCATTCTTTTTACTTCTTTTTCTGGCCGGAAATTCTCAGCGAAGCCCGGGCCAGCCTCACACTTGCAAGCCTCCTGTCTTAATCTCCCATGTGCTGGCTTTTTAGACCTAGGACACTGTACATGGCTGGACTGGAAGATAAGCATGGAGTGCCCATTTCTATTAATCTATAAGATGTCACGTGACCATCACTTACTGGTACTTTCACGTCTTGCTTCTCCTGGCAATGCTGGCGTCTCTCACCAGCCTCCACCTTTCTCTTTCCTGTCTCTCTCCTTGGATTTCCTGCCTGCCTCTAAGCTGCCTTGCCATAGGCCAAAGCAGCTCACTTATTAACCAATGGGAACAACAGATATTCAAAGCATACAGAAAGACATCCCCCAGCATCTGTGTGATTGGTATGGGGGATCCAGCTGTCTGTGTGCAGGCTAAGTGAGACATGAGCAACAGGCCTGTAAATAGAGTTCCTTCCTGTCCTCTGCTTCAGTTCCTGCCTGGAGTTCCCATCCTGGCTTTCCTCCACGATAGACTGCAAGTTGTAGGGAGAAATAAACGCTTTCCTCCCCAAGTTGTTTTTGGTCATGGTGTTTAATCATAGCAATAGACAGCAGGCAGGAGAACTCGCCACCAGCTACCACATCTCATCTTTCTGCCTCTGTATTGCTCAGGCCACTTATTTTAATGGTATTGTTAGTAATAAGTTTCAAAATATAACATTGTGAGACAGAAGTTACAAGGCAAAACCGTTATCTGGAAAAACACTGGGACTGGCATATTCTATGATTATGGTAGTGTTTTTATTATTTAAATTAGTGCATCTTAAAAATAGTCTTTATCTTAGTTAATCTTTTATTATAAAATCTGGGAGAATGGGCCTCCCATGCCACTCTGTAGATGTGATCTTTTGATGGAATGTTAATTGAAAATATATAATTACTATAAAGTGTCCAAATGAGAATGTTTTAGGGAAGATCAAGTATCTGCCCTTTATGAGATTTCTCATTCCTCAATAAGATAAAACAATAATCACAGTTAAAAGAATGGTAATTCTTATGTTAAAATAACAGAAAGGAGCCAATGAGATGTCTCAGTGGGTCAAAGCACTGGCCACACAGCCTGATGACTTGGGTTCGATCCCCCAAACCCACAAAGGAAGAAAATTGATTCTTGAAAGTTGTCCTCTGACCTCCACAAGTGTGCCATGGCATGTGCAAGCCCACATTCACACACAGAGACACATACACACACACACACACACAGAATGACTTACCCTTAGAAAACACTCATTTATTTTGACTTTGCTTATTGGATCTGTAAGAAACAGAATAGGCATGGAAATTCTGTTACAAGCTCTGTTTCAGGTCTATGATGTCACTGAGCTCTTATTTTGGAACTGCCAGGGATTGCAGAACACTGGTTGGGGTTGCCTTCTCGTGGATGGAATAATGTACGTATAATTTGCTGCGCAACCTCAAGCTCCTATTTAAGATTGTCGGAAGTGATTTCTAGAATCATTAGAAATTTATAATAGAGATGACTTGAAAACAAAGATGAACTTTAGAAAGTTATACAGAATTTTAGAGGAGATTACATTTACATAGTAAGCTTTTGTAAGAATGAAGAATGTGGAAACACAATAGACACTAAGGAAAACTCACTCCCAGAAGGTACATTTCTTAAAAAACGATAGCATCTGAAAAGAATGAATATTGATTGCGTTTACTTGACAGTGTTTTAGAGACATTTTCATTGGTAGTAGTTCATGACAGACAGTTGTCAGTTTGAAGGGAGAACAGCTAGTTAAATAAGGCCCAGGCCCACTCCAGGCATTAGTGCATCCTCTAAAGCGGGCACCTGCCCCTGCTGCCCTTGCTGCTGGGTGCCACTGGTGCCATGCATCCCCACACACAGTGGCCGCCCCGTGACTAAGCAGATAAATGCACAAGTTCATTTTAACACGTCTTTAAATAATGCTGGATGTTTAAATGTGTGTCCATTTATTTATAGCCCTGGATTTGCCAGATTCAAACTCTCAGCCTAAATCAATGAACAGCCTTAGGCTCAGAAATATAACAGAAGCAGTTAGATGCTTCAAATTCTAAAGGGCTAGCCTTGGCCAAATTGTACTTTTTTGTGGAGTTTGTCCTTTCCCATTGGTATCTATCAGGATAATCTGTATTTTCATCATCTTTCGTATTTCTCATGGTTCTCAGTCATATATAATTGGAACATAGATACCACCTTTCACATGGTTTTAATCAAATCATCTTTCCCCATTAGAAATTTTGTTTTATGATAAAAGAATGAATTGCTTACAGCAACAAATAATAATTATTACGTATACAATATAAAGGAGCTTCACATCAATCAGCAAATTTGGTCAAAGGAATAGTTTGAATAGGAAGTGTATATAGTCTGCCCTATGGACACAGGACACAAGGTGTTACATGTGCTGTGTGTGAGGGTAGCCGCTCATCACCATCCGGCTGTCAGGTGTCTCCTCACTCCATCAGTGTGACCACTCATCAACCTGCCCCACTGCACAGAGGGCTATGGAGCTGCGTCCCTCTGTGCTGGTGTGTGGCCTGAAGATGTATCCATGGGGTTTGAATGCCCATTTCTTTCACAGAGTATGGGAATAGGGATTAAAATTTTATTGCAAAAAATATCTCTCCTATGAAAGTTTCTTTTGAAAGGAGTGTTCAACCATGTTTTAAATATCTCTATTTTTTTCTGTGTGTGTATGAGTGTTCACATGTAGCGGGCACAGCTGTGTGGGTACACATGCATGTAGAGGCCAGGGGTTCGAGTCATGTGTCCTCCTCAACCCCTCACCTTCTCTTTGTTCTATCCACATTACAATCATGTTTTAAATCTCGATTCTCCCATGATCTTAGCCAAGCAGTGCAGGTCCGTCAGGAGAGAGAGGCAGTGATCCGCATCAGCAGAGAGCTGCAGGTGTCAGCTGTCACCACTGACGTGCTACAAATAAAATCAAGAGACAGCTGAAGACATTTCACTGGATACACACAGTGCCATAATTAGTAACGTGGTGCTGAAATCGCGGCAGCCGGCTCGCTTCCCCGCTTCCCCCTGCTGCTGTGCGCTTCAGGTGTTTCAGCCATAGTTGTAGCTTTCTAACCAAATTAATTTCAAGATTCTGACCATCAGGTGACCACTGCTCGCAGAAGACAGCCTTCGGATGAAAAGCCAGCTTGCCTGCTCTTTCTCTTCAAAAATGGGTGTGCTGAGGTGAGATGAGCAAATATGTGAAATGGGTGAGGTAAGAAATAAAAAAGTATTCTCTCTTGCTCACTAGGGGCAGTACAGCAAGGCTTCCGAGTACTTCCAGCAAGCTTTCCGTACCACAGTGGAGCTCATGAAAACGGAGCTGATGGATGAAACCAAAGTTCACTTCGGGATAGCGAGAGCCCACCAGATGATGGTGATGATGAAGAACTACATCGAATCTGCAGACATGGACAGCCTCAACTGCCTGCTGTCCTGGAAGGAGAGTAGAACTCAAATCAAATACGACCCAATTCTGGGTAAGGCTTTGGCGTTTAGATTTTGTGTTATCCATGTCAGCGAAGGTATTTCTGTTGGAAAGGTTTGTTCACATGATGGTGACTTGAACTTGCTTGGTAATTTTGTTTTCGTTCATTTGTTACTACATTGGCAGTTGGGTGTACTCTCCTGCCAATCATACTAGTACTGTTTATGGGAAGCATACACCAGTGGGGGTGATCTGTCCTACCAATAATTCACCATCCTTGAGCTGGCACTTCCCAGTCATCTTGGAGACCACACTATGTACTGACCAGTTGTAAGGAATAATTTAAATAAGGAGTAAGGCATGTGAAATCAACTTACGCCTTTTAATACTATCCAGTCACACAGCATGCAGATGAGAGCAACTGTCGAGACACTGGGATGGATGATGTACTTTACTGATAATAAGTAGCTAATGTTATTTTTATAATCTTGAAAATATTTTATAACAATGTTTCTAATTTTCTTATGAATAATTAAATTATTTTATTATAAACAACTAGGCTAGTGTAAGGGTCAGTGTTGGATGTTAACTTCATCAGACTCTAGGCATGAAGCTTAGGTCATCAAGCTTGGTGGCAATCACCTTTACCCATTGAGCCATCTTGCCCACCCTGAATACCAAACTTTTTTAGCTCATTGTTAGATCCTTAAGAGTTCATTCCACAGCTTGGAGCTACCTACTGTTGGCTTTAATGCGGCAGCACAATGTTATTTATTAAGCAGCACTGTTACTGTGTGAGAAAATCCACGAGGTACGACAAAACCCACTATAAGAGTTTTATTAGGAGAAGGAAGGGACAGAAGAGAATGTTATCAGGCCTGTGGAAGACGTGCATGGGGGTGGGGTGGGAAGAAAAGATAGGGGAGGAGTCTGTGACCCGGTTTTTATGCATTCCCCTGCACATGTGTATATGGGCTTACAGAGCTATGCCACGCATGCGCATAGATTGCATGATCATACTGCGTGCAAATTACGTGATCACGCGATGCACAGATTACATAGGATGTAAGGCCCCTTGCTTGGCTACTGAACTGCACATGTGCAGTCATGTAGCTGGAGAAATAGCCAGGAATTCCAACATTCCAGACTCTTTGCTTATTATAAAAAAAGGTGGGTAAACGGAGATGGGGGCACTGTGTCTCCTGAAACTGCTTCCAGCTGACTCAGTGGACATGGTTAACTCTTGGGGGACAGGGAAAGGGGGCTTCTGAGGTAGCCAGGTGTCCTGGGTTAGTGGATTGTCATCTGCTGCTTTGGGAATTATCTGACAAGGTGCTATCCAGGTAGATTCAAGCTGGCTCCGAAGCTCGCTGACCTGTCCAGGTAGATTCTATGGAGCTCGGAAGAATTTTTAAACATATTAAGAAGCAGCCATGGGAAATTTAACATCTTGAGCTTGTGACTATGATGTTGTAATGTTTTAGTACCCTGCTGTATTGGTTAGTGTTAGTGGGGGGCAGATATTTGGAACATGCTCTTAAGTTTTACCTGAGATAAGCTTTATCTGAGACAGATTATTTTAAGGCATCTGTTTAGCATTTAGGAGACACAGGTGATCAATTGCTGAGGGCTAACAGTAATAGATTGTTATATTAAAGTCTGTTTTTTGCAGAGCCCAGACACTTTTGGGTCTTGGGGTGTAAATACCTCTGGACTGTTACTGTTCCTTACGACCTGGGTATACTTGATTGTCCTTGGACTCCAGGTCTATGGTGGTCCTGTAACAATTAGCTGAGTAGTTAATTAGGAGAGGGAACCAGGAAGGAAGAGCTTGTGGAGTGATGTCCTCTGAAACGAGAGAGAGCAGGGCCCTGTCTGTGGCACTGTGCATGAGGAGGAGAAGAGGCACTTCTGACAGGTCTGGAGTGAGGCAACTGGTGGGAGCAAATGAAATGAAAGCTCCTACCTTAGCTAAAATATCTCTTCCCATTAGGGGCACAGGGCAGGTTGGCACCACTAAAAATGTGTGTGTAAGAGGGATGCCCCTGAAAATACAATTAAGTGATGGGGTCTGATGAGATAGGTAAGGCTGCCCCCCTAACCTCACAATAGGAAAATGAGGAGATGTGAAACCCCAAAACTCCCTCAGGACTGAGTAAGTGGCTCAGTGTCCAAAATTGGAGACGGATCTCCCCATGATGCATCCTGGGTTCCCTGGGAGCCCATGGCCAAGCCTAGGAGGTCTGCTGGAGGTCTTTGATTTCCCCATGCCATGAGGTGCATGGGGGCAGTCAGCTGACAAATGTCCCTCTCGGTGGCACTTCAGACAAGGCTTAATTGATGGCCCAAGTGGGGCAGGACACACACAAGCCCAGTGGCCTTTTCTACCACACTTAGAACAGGGACCTGGAAGCCTTCAGGCAGCCGCTCAAATAGCATGTGCCAGCATTTGGCAATTCTGTTCACGGGCTTTCTCATCTCTCCCATGGTACCTTAAATGCCACAACTGAGACTTCTGCCTGTGGGGTGAGGGGCCCTCTCTCCAGGACTTAAGTTAGCCCTGATGTCAGGAAGCTCTGGAAGACATAAGACAGATTTTATTCCGTATCTTGAATTACGTTTTTTAGCTTTTATAGTTTACTGGTTTGAGGGAAGCCTCAAGAAGAAGTTGTCTGTAGCTAGAGAGCCAGATGATAGTGTAATAACCAGGTTATTGTAACCCCAATGTGGGTCCTGATCGGAAACTCACTTGCGTGCATCCTAGCCTGTTTCCAGACCCGTCTGTGCTTCTCAGGGCAGCTGGGAACGGTGACAATAAGAGTGAATGTGGGAGCCAGAGTTGTGCAGTTAGAACGGTCTGCCTGATACCAGAGAGCAGAGTGGAGGTCAGATAGGTGGAGGTTCTTTGGAGTCAGAGATTCCTCGGGTTCAGGTTGTACATGGGCAGGAGAGAAAGACTCAGAAAGGGAGGGTTCAGAGCTTAGGTAAAAGCGTGGGGATAAGGTAACTCTTTTCATTTGCCTGTTCGCTGGCAGAAGTTAGATAATTCCCATGGAATATCGGGGTCCAAGCAGCCATTACATGGCCATATTTATGAGTATCCCAGGGATATTTAAGATATTTTTCAGAGGAGGAGTAGGACCAAGAGGAGGAAGCCTTTATGTCCCATTACTGCAGCCAAGAGAAGAAAATGAAAAACTAAAATAACAAACGGGATCCAAGACCCCAGTCTCAGGCATCCCTGAGGTTAGGGAAGGATCTGTGAATTGGCACAAATCATTCAATGCTTTGTCAAGCCAGAGAATAAGGGCCAGGATGTGCGAACCCGGAGGACCCTCCCCCCCCCCCCCGGGGGGGGGGGGGGGGTTCGGACAGCATTCAGTGCCTCATCAAGAGAGAATGAGTCATGGTGTACACAGCCCAAGGACCCCCTGGGGCTCCAACAGAGAGAAATATATCTCAGGCTGCAGTGTGGGAAATGGCGAGGGATTGGAAAGGGAAAACTCACCAATCAGCAGCGTGATCATGCTGAGCGCAAGTTACGCAATCCCACGGCTTACATAGGATGTAAGGCCCCTTGCTTGGCTTCTGAACTGTGATGTGCGGTCATGTAGCTGAGGAAGTGGCCAGGAATTCCAACACCTACATCTTAGATTTTTGTGTTTTCTGCCCAGAATATCAGGATCTAAGACAGGGGAAATGATCCATGTTTGTGGTGGTAATCTAATTGTACTGAATTATTATTTTGATTGTATGTTAATAAATAAAGTTGTCTGGGAGTCAGAGCTATTAGAGCCATAGCAAGAGTGTGGCGGTGGTGGCACACACCTTTAATCCCATAGATATCTGTGTGTTCAGGGTCAGAGCTATTAGAGCCATAGCAAGAGTGTGGCGGTGGTGGCACACGCCTTTAATCCCATAAGATCTCTGTGTGTTCAGGGATACAGCCAGCATTGGAGACATATGCCTTTAAGACCTAGGGGGCTGTACATTCAGACAGTGACGAGGCAGTCATGTATTTGGGTTTACAACCAATGAGAAGGCAGAACAACATACTTTAAAAAAACGAACCGACAGGAAGTAGGTCTCTTTTCGCGAAGCTGGGACAGCAGGAGGAAGGGTGAGATTTTAGCTCTGAGCTCTGACTTCTCGGCTTTCTCTTTTACATTGTTTCTGTGTTTCTTATTTAATAAGACGGTTGGTTACATCTACACATGTTAGCCGTCTTACACTGATAAAAGATACAGTCTGCAGAGGATAAGCTGAGCTGTTCAAAGTCTCTGGTTGGTCTTGAATAAACTCTTACTATCCTGATGATACTGTGAAAAAGAATTCTCTTGGGGCCAGAAAAGCCATGTTCTGATGGAATCCAGGTGTGTCTGTCAGTGCCTCGTTTCCAGCTTTCAAAAAGCCTTCTTCCACTTTTGTTCATCCCTACCTCTTACATTTGTGGCTCTTTGGTGTTTTGAGAGGTTATATTTTCTTCTGAAGGACTTGGGAGCAGAAGCAAATCATCCATTTGCCCATGTGATTCAACACTAAAGCTCATGGTCTGCATGGGGGTGCGGGGTAGCCTTCCTCAGAGTGCTGTAGAAATCACAACCAGCCCTGCTCATCTCACGTGACTCAGAGCTCTGTGCCAGGATTAGCTACTTCCCTGTAGAAGTAAAAATTAACAACTGTTCAGACAAGTATGAGTAAGCACTGAGTTCTCATCTGCTGTCACATTATGCATTGTGAAGAGTAACTCTTCTTCATGAAATAAACCTACAGGAAATTATTTAAATGCACATGATAGTTTTTTTTTTAAGAAAATTCTAAAGAATTACTCTTTTTTTTTCTTTTTTTTTTTAAGATTTATTTATTTATTATGTATACAGCATGTATGACTGCAGGCCAGAAGAGGGCACCAGATCTCATTATAGATGGTTGTGAGCCACCATGTGGGTGCTGGGAATTGAACTCAGGACCTCTGGAAGAGCAGTCAGTGCTCTCAACATCTGTGCCTTCTCTCCAGCCCACACATGATAGTTTGCATTAGCGTATTTTTAG